CATGTAATTGGTTTTCCGGAAAATGAATTACTGGAATTTGAATTACTGGAATTTGAATTTCTGGAAAAATGAATTACTGGAATTTGAATTCTGGAAAATGAATTACATTTCTGGAAAATGAATTACATTTCTGGAAAACATCTGGAAAACGTTTTATGATGTTTGGAAGATGCTATTTAAACATTTTTTCCACTAGTTGAAGAGTTTTTTTTTAAAATTATTTATTACAAATATTAAATATAATAAGTAATATTATTTATCATAAAACTTAATATTATTATTTTAAAATATTAAAATAATTTATTTATTATTAAATATTATTTTTATAATTTTATTAATAAAAATATTAGTATTGGTATATTTTAGTGAAATAAAATATTATAAATTATATTAATTATTTATTAAAGTAATAGTGCTATATTATATTTTAAAAATATTAGTATATTTTAAATATCTTTACTAAAATATTATTGAAATATATAAATAATATTATTCATTATTAAATATATAAAAAATTTATTATATATTATTAAAATAAAAATATAATATCTTATATTATTATAATATAATTAATTATTTTATATAATATTAAAAATATAATATTATATTATTATAAATATTAATAAATATATTTTAAATATTTTAATAATTAATATTTTGATGAAAATGATATTAAAATATTTTATTAAAATTAAATTCATAAAATAAAATTATTTTGAGTATTTTTGCTTTGAAGTGAAAAGTTCGGAAAATGACTTACGGAAAATGAATCCGTAAGTCATTTTACAGAAAACACAAAGGAAATTTTGTTACTAGGAAAATGAATTACATTCCGGAAAACGAATTACGTGAAACAAACACGGGAAAACGTTTTCCGGAAAACAAATTACGTGAAACAAACACGGGAAAACATTTTCCGGAAAACGAATTACGTGAAACAAACACGAGAATTCAGGGAAAACCAATTCCGTAATTCCAATTACGGGAAACAAACAGACCCTTAGTTTTACCTTGATCATCAATTATTAAAAAATTAATAAAATTACCGATATAACATTTTTTATTTTTTAATGATGACATGACATTATATAATAGTGGCACATTACCATCATTATTCAGTTTTTAATAATGGGTGACTAAAATGAAATCAAAATTAAATATTAGATATGATTTTAAAAAAATAGTTAGATGATTAAAACAAAACAAAAATGACAGTTGGGTACTAAATGTGTAGTTTGGCCAATAAGAAAAGGATAAATTTATATCGTTGATCACTTAATTATTTAATCAATTTACGTCTGTTATTGGTCTTTTAACAGTTAACAGAAATATTGATGTGACAGTTAAAAATTAACATAATTATACATTTAATTATTAATATTTATATATTATATCAATTTGGTCTTAATTTAAATTTAATTTAATACATTATTCATTCAATTATAAAATAACACGTGTTAATACATTATTAAAATATTTTATTTATGAATTTTAATAGATTTAATTAAATAATTTTTCCGTCACCACATGATTAAAGTGAAAATGAAGGGGATATATTTACACTTCAGGATAATCAACCCAACGTCAAGGAGAAAGAGTATTTTATATTTTGTCTTTTAAAAGCTTATTAATGATAAAAACAAAGCAGAAATAAAAAAAAATAGAATTAGAACCAACAAAAATTATAAAATAAAAGATGACACAAATATTTAAATAAATCTAATATTTTTTTATTAATCTGGTGTAAGTATAAGGTAGTATATGTTCAAATATAAACTCTCAACCTATTGACATTGAACGCTCACACCCCTGACATCTATAGTGCTCAAACTCGGGTCTTTAAAGAATAACAACAATTAATGAAAGATTAAAATACAAATAAATTAAAAAAATTATATTTTAAAATTAAAATTTAAATATAATTTAAAATAATTATAAAAATAAATATAAAAAATAAAATTTAAGATTTAAGATTTTTAATAATATTTTTATATTTTAAGATTTACATGTGTCACCACCTAATTAGTATTAACATATAAAATTATAAAATAAATATAAAAATATTAAATTTAGTTTTAAAATATAAAAAACTTAAATTTATTTTTATCGTAAATCTTTCATTAATTAAAATTTAAAAAATATATAATATATTTAAATATAAATAAAATAAAATATTATATTTGTTTAATATTATATATAATATATTTAAATATTTATATTTAAAATATTATATTTTTTAATAAATATGTTCTAATTTATTCTTTTTATTTTTTTACCGTTAACAAAATTTTAAAGGATTAATATAATTTGTTGTAAGCTTTAATCCATCAGGACCTTTGGTGTAGTGGTTTGAGTCCTTAACTGCTCACTCTTTCTTTTTGTCATTGGTTCAATTCTCTTGTCACAACCCAATTGGATAAAAAATATCGACAGAATATAAAAATATTAAGAACTAAATGTATAGTTATGTAAATTCTTTCAACTGCACATATGCGTTTTCGTAATTGTTAACTGTTAGTAGTTTGATTGACTACGATTAGATAGTTAGATCGTTTAATTGATAAAATTAAAAGAATAGTGGTAAAAATAAAATGGCTAAATGAAGGAGAAGTGTTTTAGTCCTTCCATGCACTGCTCTGTACAATTGCTCTTAAAGGCTAAAGCCTTTGTGCACACAGAGAGAGAGAGAGAAGAAGAAGAAGAAAGATGCACAAAGAAAGTGAGCTTTGGGACGACTCCGCCCTCATCGACGCCTTTGACAACGCCATGTCGAAATACAAGGTTTCCCTCTCTCACCTTCACCTTTCATTTTATCTGGGTTTCCTCGGTTTGTGGCTGCAATCAAACACTTTCAGTTATATAATTGGGTTTTGTTTTAATGCATTTTTTTTTTGCAGAAGATGCATGGACTGAAAAGCAGCCAGGCCAATGTCTCATTTTCTGTTCATCAAAGCGGTGATGCGGCCATAAAGTAAGCGTTTCTTTTCTTTTTCATTTTTACTGTTTTTATGGGTAATAGTATGTTATTCGAAGAAACTATAAGTGAAAGGAATATACTGTTAATGTTTTTTTAGATGGGAACGCCGTAATTTCTCTTGCTGGTCGAATAAAGTGTTAATATAAAGTTCATTTTTTTGTTAATTTTGTTCTTTTGCTTGTTCATGTAGACCCAGGGATGCAGGAGAGAACATCAATGCTGGAGTAATTACTGGAACAGAAACGGAGGCGGCAAATGATCTTGAACCAGTTGAAGAAAATAGTTCGGTTAAGTTACAGGCTCTGGAACAATACATAGATTCAACAACCAGCCTGCCTATGCAGGATAATCAAGATGGGAATAATGGCGTTTCCCATTTGCAAGGTGCTCACGACTATAACCAATTACTCGGTCAATATTACGAGGTTGAAGAGAGGAGGCAAACTATTCTGCAGCAGCTACAGCAATGTGATAGTTGGGGTTACGAATATTCTGCTGAGGGTTCTAGCTCAGCTGCACAATGGCGTACCTCCTGTGATTATCAGGAATACCCTATTCCTACAAGTCAAGTTTCACAATCCACTGTCATATGTTCGTGTTGTCGGTATGCATGTCAATCGTTGGTGACTCCGTGCACACAATATCCTTGCTGTTCTTTGGCTGGGACATCTGTTGGTAAAATTAATGCTGAACCAAATGGTGCAATTACTTGTGAAAACTTACCTACGGTCATCGACTCTGACATTGCTAAAACGGCTATATATGGGAGCTGCATAAAGAGCAATATCATCTTCGACTACAAGAGCTTCTATTAATCCAAATGAAATTGAAGGTAAGTATGGCTTTTCCAAGTGTCCTAAAAAGTTTATCAGGCTTGTGTTTTATTCTTTCATGCATATTTTGTAACAGGTTATTAGAAATGAAATGTTATTTACTCTGCTCTTATGGTTGTTTGATAATTCGAAGTTTCTGTTTAGCAAAATTTTAATGTGCTTATTATCTCATATATTTATATTTGCATTGAATGCGGAGAACTAGGAGAAGAAGGATGGTGAAGTATGGCATTCTTGTTGTGCAATGTTGAAGAGAGCTGTTTGAAGGCGAGAGGTTCCTGATATTAGTCATCCTCCGATTGCATGGAATCCCTGACATTTAATTGGTATGACGAGAAAGGAATGTGAGAATGTATGGCCAATAAACGAAACCTGGCCAACGGGTCAGATTTTCCAACAAATTCTCAACTTATCAGATTACGGCTGCATGGTTTAAGGAACATTGCTGCTTGTGATCATGTTAATAGGGATTTAGTGTTATGTTTATGTGTGTGTGCAAAACTCGGTTCTACTCGAACATATTATTATTTGAGCCAACTCTAATTCCAACTCTATCAAGCAATAAACGAAAAAATACTTCCTTTTATTTATTTTTTTGGTTACCCTCTTGGTTTTAGGGTTTTATCCTGACAAATTCGGATTGACTCGTATTGTGCACCTGGTTTTGATGGGTGAATATCCTAGCGAAGATTTTCTGCGTACTCAAGAACTCGAACTCAAGACCTACTTAAACGATATTAAGTTGTTTGCCACTTGAACCAATCTCGTTAGTACATTCTTTTAAAATTTTCATTCTTCATGCTAAGCATACAAATGAAGAGTTAATAATTTTTCATCTTTCTATTTTTTACCCTTTAATTTTTTTATTATTTTAATTTCCTTTCCAATCTAATAAGTAAATCCTTAATAACATCATCATTTTGATAGTTCAATGATAATATCATTCTGATAGTTCAATGTTATACCATCAATTTGATTGCTCGAATAATTTCTCTCTCTCTAAGTTTTAGTATTAATTTGAGAAAAGTTGTAAAGTACAGGTACTAATTTACAGAATAAGACCATTTTAAATAAATTTATATGAATGAATGGTGTAGATTGAATCTTGAGATCAAAGCACGGTTGACTGAGTATATTGTTGACTAAAGCGAGACGATTCATTGTTGTTATAACAGGGATGATTCAGCAGACCGGTGTCACTAGGTCAGGAATTGTGAATTTAGGGCAAAAATGGCGAGAGAAAAATCTAGCAAGGACAATGCACAAGCCCTCTTCCATTCTCTTCGTTCTGCGTATGCTGCCACTCCTGTCAATCTCAAGGTTTCTCTCGCCCTCTCCTTCCTTTCCTTTTAACTCTATTTTTTCTAATGATTTGTTTCTTGGATTCCTAATTACAGATCATTGATCTATATGTGGGTTTCGCAGTCTTCACTGCTCTGATTCAGGTACTCTCATCCATCTTCGGAACTCTATTTTATTTCCTTGATCTTTAGTCACTCAATTTCATCGATTTGTTCCGACGGGGATTCTAGTTCTTTCGCTTCACATTATATTTCACCCGTCGTAGCAATCCTCCTTTAAATATACTTTAAAAGTAGATAATTAGAATATGAAATTAGAAATCGCAAGTGTGTATTGAATGCATTTGATAAATATCATGCCGAACATTTTGAAATTCGATGAAAACCAGCTTACAGTAGAGCGATTACTGTTTAATTGTTGGATTAAGGTCGTGCATCTTTTGAACATTTTGAACTGTTTAATCGTTTGTGTAGTTATATCGGGATAATATTTAATTTAGTTGATTATATGTTCTTAAATGCTGACTTCCATTGAGGATCCACAGGTGGTTTACATGGCCACTGTGGGATCATTTCCTTTCAATTCCTTTCTTTCTGGGGTGCTTTCTTGTGTTGGGACAGCTGTCCTTGCTGGTAAGTGGATTTTGTATCATGAATGTTTGGCAAGGTAAAAGATCTACCCGACACCATTTTTGGCTTTGATTGGATGCAGTTTGTCTTCGTATTCAAGTGAACAAGGAATTCAAGGTAAGCTTTTTTCAAATTGAGGTGTTCAGTTCCTTTGAAGTTGTTTTGCCCTTATATAGCCCAAGGGTTTAGTTGGGGGAATTGGGTGTTGTATATAGGTGTGAACATTCGACAGCATGTTAAATCATCAACTTTATAATGCTCATATTAATTGCAGGATCTACCACCCGAGCGAGCTTTTGCAGATTTTGTTCTTTGCAATTTGGTGCTCCATTTGGTGATCATGAATTTCCTTGGATAAAATTGTATCACCGGTTTTGCTGGACTGCTGTTTTCTCAGCTTCTGGCAATGATTCATATTTATAACATGAACTGAAAATTTTGCTTACGGCAAAGTAGTAGCCTCTACAATTCTTAATTGGTGTTCACTTAATTGGAGGGGTGCAACCTCGTGTGTGTATATATATATATATATATATATACACGACTGAGATTGAAAGAAAAAGGATGTTATTGGTAGGCCACCCGTAACAGTTATATTACACTATAAAGGATCCCTTAGCAGTAATGTATGGACTTTAGGTTAATTTAGACATTATAATTTATATCTCAAAATGTTCATAGGTATTATACAATGATGATCGATAAATACGATGTTAGATGAATTTATCAATAGTAGGATATAAGTCTATCGAATTGTCAAAACTAAAGCCTTAATATGATGAAATTTGCTTCGAAAAAAATAAGAAAAAGCACGAGGCCATTTGATTATATGTTGGGCGGCTTTCTCCATTGTTTTTAGCACTGGCAAGCTGCAACCCATTTCTGAAAGCTCAAGACTCGTGCAAATGCGATGAGGTGATGGGTTAATGGCTTTGCTTCTAAGTTCTAACCAAGGGTTATCGAGGATATTAACAACAGTTGTGGACAACTCCATTACTAAATAACAAAGAGAACCGACGCATGTAATTGGCCTAACAACTTTTTTGGCTTCGAACGTTTCAGAATGTGATTTTTGTTTTTAATTTTTCTCTCGTCTCTTTCAGTCCTCTAATTTTTAATATTTTCTTAAATTAAATTAATTGATAAAAATAATAGATTTATTAAGATGGCTTTAATTATTGATAAAAATATATAAAAAATAAGGGTTAAAATGTTTTTTTTTATAAAAAAAAAAATGAGGGTCAAATATGATCAGGTCTATGTAATTTATATGTTTGTTTTGGGACATGAGCAAATGTAGTAAAATAAAAGCGACAAGGTGCAGCTCACATGGTGAATGGGAAACATGAGAAAAATAAAGGGGTTGTGTTCAGATCATCAAATACTAACAGTAACAGGTTTTAAATCCTGTTTTTGTCTCATTGTATTTGATGCTTTTATTGTTTGTTGTGCAGAGCACTTTCCCATTTCTTGAAACGTAACAAAGCACGAGAATGCTTCCCTTTCACTCAATGTGGATTATATTTATAACATTACATGCATGCACATTCATAGATGTCCTGAATTTGCTTATACTCAGACCAATGCTGTTTTTTAAAAAAAAAAAAAATCCAGTCTGGTAATGAAGATCTGTGGGGTGAGTACTCCATGTTATAAAATTTACCAGTTCCTTGGAAATTAAACCTGATTTATGATGCGTGTCTGTCACTTTTCTTTCCTCATGTCTAAAATAATTTTACAGTTGCTCCACCCTTGCATTTAGGTGTAAATTAAATTAATTACTGTTAGATTTCTGACAGTCCATATCTTTACTTATTTAAAAAATATGAATAGAATTGCACGGATAACTAAAAATTTACAAATTGGTCCTCTAACATAAAATCTTGTATGATTCGTTCAATGCATAGATCCTTCTTAGTGCTCTTTCCAACTAATTATACCATTCCACAACTTCAACTAATTGTGTCCTCCACTGTCTCCTTTTTGTTCTATTTAATTTTAACCATCACTATTCCTTTTCCCTTCTCTTTCTCTTTGATTTCAAGAAAATATTAGTACTATTGTTTTTCTCTTTGACAAAAGTTGAGATTTTGATTCTTAAACATCACTATTCGAATCTCATCTTTCGTGACTTTTGTAATAAGTTTTAGTTTTAGTTAATTTCATCGTTAACTTAATTATCCAGTTTAATGCTATTTAGCTAAAAGATACAAGTAAGAAAAGAATTATAAATAGCAAGATTTAAAATTTAAATTATATTAATTTATAATCAAATAATATAATTTTTTTTAAATTAGTCCATATGTTATTGTATCAAGTTAAATTTTGTGCATTTAAAATTATTAATTATTTTCATATATTAACAAAACTATTTTTATAGAAAAGAAATTAAACGATTATTCATTATCTTTTAATATTTGGAAAGGATAAAACAAGACGAGGAAATTCTCTGCCAAATATTATTGCAAGGCAGACCTCTGATCCTGTTATTACACGTGGTGGAAAAGGACTGGTTTAGAAGTGGGATTCGGAGAGCCGTCAGATGCACAAAATGTGCGAAGTGGGCGAGGCACCACCATCGGATAAGTTGATTGCGTCCCTTTCGACTCCAATTTTATTCTCAAAGTAAAATGAGGAATCAAGGTCCCACGCGCCACCACTATCTGCTCCTCCGCTGGGAAACAAGTGGTGCTCTCAGGTGAAGGGAATATCAAACTACACATCATCACGGTGTGTCCTTCAACGGTTAAATCTTAATTTGTAATACTTTATGAATTCAAATCTCATAAAGCTAATTTGAATGGATGAAAATAATGATTATATTGATGGTTGGTAGTTCATTCAATTTTTTTAATTTGGATGGACAGTCACAATCGATAATTATTCGACGATTGATCGATGATGTCAATGAAGAGAAAATGATTGAGATGACAAATATATGAGTTTATATATTAATTTCTTATGTGTGTTGATGTTTAGGATTATGATTACTATATGTAAATCAATAAAGTGAACAAATGCAAATGTCAATCAATAGATCTTAAATATATCGATAATTTATCAAAAGACGATAACTAGTTGAATGATGCAAATAACTTCAGAGAAACAACATTTGACTTTAAAGGTACAACATGTCACGGACCGCCAGCCTAAGACCGAGCCCAGTTCGTTTAAGCTTGCCAGATACTAACTTTGCCACATTTTGGGCCTTCTAGAAGACCCAGCAGAGCTGGCCCATCCACCTTGGAGAGAGAAAAGACATGATAATTATTTGAAATTATCTTAGAGATAATTCCACTAATTATTCTTTAATTTAGAGTTGTAATAGAGTAGGGTTCTCTTATGACCGTTGATGTAATTTAATCTTAACCGTTGATTGTAAGGGGCTCCAACTATAAAAGGAGGCTCACCCCCACTTCATTTACTCACTTCAGATTGAGGAATACAAGTTAACATTCACTATAAACCCTCTCTTCTCCATTTGTGCGCAAATCTCTCTATTTTCCCTCTTTTTCTTTATTTTGCAACGCTCTAAGCATTCTTCCTTAGTGGAGGTTACTTAGCCGATTTTCGACTAGCCCCGTGACAAGTGGTATCAGAGCTTGTTTTTGTTGATTTTTCGTTGGTTCGAGAAGGCACCACAACAAGGCGAGGCAACGGGTTCCGATGGGAATGAAAACTATAATGCTGGAAGAAAGAGAGCACCATCGAAAGATGTTCTCACGTCCATCCAGTAGAAGGTTACCAGGCTCGAGGGTTCCATGATGGAAGCCAAGAGAGTGTTGGACATGCTGGAGTCCGTAGACATGCTGGAGTCCGTAGAAATATCAAACTGAATCTTGGGTATTTTATAAAAGTAAATGTTTTGAGTAGTCAATGTGACACCTCATGTAACATCCCAAAATACGGGTTAGTGATTAACTTATAAAACTTCAGAGTTTGGTGACCGAAGTAGGATATTTGAATAGTTTAATGATTTGTTCAGAAATATTTCCTGAAAGTTATTAGTAATTATCAAAAGAATTAAAGGGCAAAATGGTCATTTAGCATGAAAGATATTTTTCCCCAATAATATGAATAAATCACGTGGAGGTGGGGGAAAGAGTTATCTGAAAACTCTTTCTTCTTCATTTCTTCTTCTCCCAACCGTGGAAGCTAGGCAAAGGTAAGTGTTTTCTGAGTTGTTGATTATTTGTTAAATTAAAGGTTATGTTTTGATCATTAGATGATAATTAAGCTTAAGGAAAACTTAAGTTGTCTTATAATCAAAAGATGAAGAAGTTATAAGAGATTTAAGAAAATGAGTTTTTATATGAAATCATGGAAAAGAGTTGATAAGTTGAATTTGAAGTTAAATTTGACTAGTTATCATGATAATTAAGGAATATGAAGTGTTAGAATTGTATTTAGAACATATTAAAATTTGAGTATGATTCTTGAATTACATATGAGGGATATAATTTTTAAATTATAGATGATTTTCATGGATATAAGTTGGTTTAAGTAATGGTAGTTGAGTTTAATGATATGATAGAGGTTTAAAATAGAAGAATTGAGTGAAGAATTGATGATTTTCGGGCTTAAAGTATAATTTCTGGGAAGAGGGAACCGATACCTATGAAGGGGAATCGATTCCCCTTCTTGAACGAAAAATTTCCAGTATGTTCAGGGGGTATCGATTCCCCCTAAAGGAAAAATGAAATTTGGTTCAATAATATGGCTTAAGATGTTAACATCAAGTTTAAGGTTTAGGCTTCTGATAGTTGTTTTGAAATGTTATATTTATGTAGATATTGAGCCTAAACAAGCTCTGGAATAATCAAGGGATTATAATTGATTCAAATCAAATAAGGCTAAGGTGAGTGCAATTTTAATTGTACTTATATTATTGAACGAACATTGGCTTGCGATGAGTCAGTGATGAAGTTACTATGGTAAGAAGTGACTCCTAAAATGTTATTTGATTGGTGATTCTTATATGTGCATGAATACATGAAATGAGTATAGGTTATTATATATGTTACATAATATGCATATGTGATATATGTTATGAGACATGACCAATGTGAAATGAGATAAGCTATGTGAATATATGAAATGATATATGAATATGCAATACGTGATACATGTGATATGATATGAAATGATATATGAATATGTAATACGTGATACATGTGATATGATATGAAATACATGGTTACACATACATGTGGTATGTGATAGAAGAGAAAGAACAAGTGATGAGAAATGTATTAATAATAAATGCCCATAGTATATGATACGAGAGTTATAGGTATAGTTGGCATGCCAAGAGTCGAGGGTTACATATATCCTATAAGACATATGATAGGTCCTATGGGACACAGATTACATCATTCAGGATGATAGGTCCTTCGGGACACAGATGACATCCTTCGGGATGATAGGTCCTTCGGGACATTTGTACGAGCTGTGGTGACAGCATATGTGTGCACAACCTTAGTGTACTCGCATACCTATATTCTCAATAATAT